TTAATCACCCACATGTGGCACTTCTCCTGCACCTCCTGACGGGGTGCAGATTCAGTACAGGTCTGACAGAAGCTGTCCCTGCTGGAGCTGAGCAAAAACAGTGTAATTGCTGGTTCAGATAAAACAAAGTCCGTTGTGCAATGCCCGCTGCGCTGGAGCCGATGTGGTGCATTACAGGAACAATAACACTAATTCCAGATCTTGCTACAGTCTGAAGCCCTGAATCACGGGGCAGGGGCGAGAGCAGACAGGCACTCCCAGGACGCAAGCAGCCGCGCACGCACGCTCAGCCCCAGCCTGCCGAGGCTAAAAAGGGCTGGAGGACAAGCTGGGACAGGCTCTTTTTTTGGCTCACAAGCTGTGGGTGAGCAGCCTCCCTTGCTCAGAGGCTGGCTCTGAGTGTCACCCTGCTTTCTTCATGTCCTGGGAAAGGCAGCTACACACCCACAGGAATAAAGCAGACTGCAGCTGGCTAATTGCAGTGACTTCATGTCAGGGCTCTGAGCAGGCCTGGTGCGAACAAGCTGCCTTTGGGCAGCCGCTGGAGGAGTGGTGCCTCGGTGCTCACCCATGATTCCTCGGTGCAGCCAGTGCTGCTTTCTCCATTTCTCTAGCAGCTCCAGGAGCCCAAGGTGTCACGTCCAGCAGAAAAATAACTGGAAGACCTGGTGATGTTGGTGCTCCTGGAGGGGCAGTGAGTCCATTGCTCACCCTTTGGGCCTCCTTCCTGTGCTACAAGTTTCACAAAGCTGCGGTCAGCTCTGTTGCAATGCTTGTGCGAGGCTGCAGCAATGAGGCAAGAGCCAGAGATCACTTCCCCCTTTCCCCAAAGCCCAAGCCATGCCTGCCAGGTCACAGCTGGGCATTCGCATCCATGTGACAGAGGTGCAAGGAGGATTTACACTAGCTCACTCAGCACTGCCTTGTGAATGTCTCTGCACAAGCATCCTCCCTGTAGATAAACCGCAACCAGTTAGGCAAGTCTTTAGTCCCTTAGGAATGCCAACAATTCCCAATGCAGGGGCATCTTGCCAGCTGCTTTTCTCTGCCCTGCCAGCATGTCCCAATCTCTGGGGTGTGCTTGAGCCTTTAATGGTTGGCTAGGTGAATGCAATGGGGTATCTGCATGTGGAAGCGGAGTCTACGTTACACAAACAGCTAATCAGCCCAAGGGCTCGCCAGGAGAGAAAGCGAGAGCAGAAGGAGCAGAAAGCAGGGCTGGCAGCAGGCCAGCACTGGTGCATTTCAGAAGGGAACAGTTAACATGATAAAAGATGCATTTGATAAGCTAGCCGCGTAGTGGCTCCCGGGATGCTCCCTTTTCCTTAGCAGGAAGGAGCAGAACAGCTCCATCTCAGGAGTCCAAGGTGGCGTGATGGAGCAAAAGGGCACTCTGGGATGGGAAGGGCAACATCCTGAGGATGCCAAGCTTCAGCAGGTTGCTGCGCACTTCGTAGCGAAGTTATGGGCATTACCATGTCCTGTCTTGGCACGCGGATGCTGAGCCCTGGCCTGAATTGGCCATTGCCACCACCAAGACCAAGCGCAGCATCCAGTTTGTGGACTGGTGCCCCATGGGCTTCAAGGTGGGCATCAACTACCAGCTGCCCACGGTGATGCCGGGGGGGGACCTGGCCAAGGTGCAGCGCACCGTCTGCATGCTGAGCAACACGATGGCCATCACCGAGGCCTGGGCTCGCCTCGACCACAAGTTCGACCTCATGTACGCCATGTGCTGCAGTGCTGGGACAGAGCCCCATCCCAGTGCCAGCTCTGCTCCGTGATCTCAGGCATGATTTGCCTCAGAAGACCCCAGATTAAAGAAGTATCCTGACATTTTCAGTGCTCAGACCCCACACATGTGCTGCCTCCTTTGTAATTCACATAGGCATCAAGGCCAAGGAGGTTGGAGAGATTCATAGAGCCTTCAGTGTTGGCACTGGCTTAAAGGCCTCTGACACATGCAGAGCAGTTTCTCAATCCACAGGTTCAAGAACATTTGATATGCTAGCCAAGGATGACGAGCCCTTCTCCAAGAGCCTCTGAGGAGGTTTCTGCCCATATCAGTCGCAGTTCCAGTACACAGGACACTTTGCTCTTTGCCTTTTGTGCCTTCTTCATTTGACTTGCAGGGGATTGTCTTACACAGATGTTGTGTGAGTGAATGACAGAAAGATGCAGAGTGCAAGGGCTGGGGTTGTATGTTCATGTTTTGTTGTAGGTCAGCTAAAAATGATTCCTCTTTACTTCCTTGTGACATGCAAACTCTGTATGACACATTTCCAAGGAAGATTTTAGCCATGACACTGTCAGCACCCAGGGGCAGAAATCATGGCAGGTACTGGCATTCAATGATGGACCAGGATGGTAGAGAGATGGTTCACTCTACCTGTGCAGCCTGCAGAGCCTCTCCTCAATGCTGATGAGTCAACAGGTGACATCATTTTCTCACCTCTTTGTGCAGGGGCTAAATGACGGGTTTCCATGTTTAATTACACCCCCATGTTCTGGGATGGGACCTTCCTACTGGGTAAGTGCACTGCTGGGTTCACCAGCTGACCACTATGGGCACAAGTCTGTCCTTACTGTCCATCCAAGGGCAATAAATCCCAGGCTCTCACCAGGCTCAGGTGCAAATGATGGAGAACCTGTTTAATCAGGGGCCTCTGGCACCTCCACCAGCCTCAGGCTGTTGGTACACAATCTGCAAGGGCCTGGGGTTTGCCCGGGTTTCACCTGGGGCAGCGCTGGCATTGCTAGTGGAGAAGGCTGCCTTGGGACAAGTCTCAAGCAATTGGGGGCAAAAAAGGGGGTGTGCAGGAGGGCAAGGTGAGCAGACATCTTCAGATGAGAGAGTGGGGCCAAGGGTGGAAGAACAGATTGAATTTTAAAGTGGGTGCATAAACTTGTGCACATCAAATAGGGAGGTGCAGAAGGTGCCCTCTTTGGGGACACTTGCTCACATCCAGGTGAGTGGGCATGGGCAGCGGGCATGCAACTCCCCAGGCAGTTCACTCCACAGCTATCTATGTATATGGTAGGACATGTAACTGCCAGCTTTTCGGAAGCCTTCCTTCTGAGGAAATCAAAAGACAGAGTTGCACAGTGCTAAAAAGAAATCAGCAAAAAAGCCAACCTCTCTCGGAGTGTGGTTTGCAAAATATTACAGCAAGTTTATGAAGCAATCCACTTATTTCCTGAAAGAAGAGGTAACCAACATAGAAAAACTGGTTCTTTGGGGTCTAGCTTTGCTCAGCCAAAGGCTCTCAGTTTAGAGCATTTCATTGGCTTTTTCACAGCCTTGGAGAGCTGACAGGCGGTCACAACACAAGGAGGA